GGACCTGGACCCCCAGAAACAAAGTAAGACCACTGAAACAGAGATTTCAGGATTTATTCTTAGAATATGTGAGAAAGTTTCTTATTGTGTCAAGTGTAATTCTGAATGTCGTGAATGATCTTTGCACCATATTCAGAACAAAAACACATAGATTCAAACAGTATTGAAGTGACTGATTACAAATAGTGTTGCTCAATAATGTGATCTCAGTTTAAAAACCTTTTCTAAATATTTAGGTAAACAGGAATCAACCTCTAATCCGGATTCATGGTTCAGGTTCCAGATTAACAGCAAAGAAATAAAGACACTGAACCCAACATCATATATGGAGCTAAATGTGATATTAAGGTCTAGATTTAAAAATCCCTGATTTAGATCTTTATGTTTGCAGATGTCAGTCATTTAAGTCAACTAAAGTTTTTTACTCTAAAAAGAAAACATGTAGACGTGCTTTAGAATCTGTATTTTTTTTTTTTTTAAACAAACAAATGGCTCCAATCATAGCCTTGTTGCCTCACAGCAAGAAATTTCCTGGTTTTAGTTCTTGGGGGAACCAGAACCTTTCTATGTGGAGTCTGCATATTCTCCCTGGGTCTTTTTGGGTTCTCTCCGGTTCTCCAGATCCTCCTGTGGTCCAAACACCTGCATGTTAGGTTAACTGGACTTTCCAAACTGCCCCTAGGAGTGACTGTGAGTGTGTGTGGTTGTGTGTCTCTGTGTGTCCCTTTGATGGACAGGTGACCTGTCCAGGGTGTCACGAAGGAGCATGAACCTGAACCCAAATTACAACTTTGACAACTAATGTATAAAAAAATCTTTAATACAAACGCATAGATGCAATCCAAACAAGGCCAACAACAAAGTATTAAGATATGGACACTACTAAAAGGAAAAAACTCAAAATCACCCATATGAGGATAATAGTAAATAAAGTATAAACAAAAATTCACTCCTAAGAGGAAAGCTGAAATGACAAAATAGAAATCACTCTTGAAAGGAAATAACAAATGACAGGACAAACTGGAAGAAAACTTTCACCTGACAAAACCTAGAAGTTGATGTGGGACAAAACGTTTGGTTGTGTAACGATCTGTGTTCAGACCCAAAGACACCCAAAGCCGGTCAGTCAGTTCAAGCAAAGTTTATTGAGGGATAATCCGGACGCGTAGTCAGGGAAGTCCGGGTCCAGTAACGGGAAGGCCAATAAATCCAGCAACGGTACCAGGGGTAAATCCAAAGGGAGTCCAAGTCCAGTCCCGAGTCCAGATCCAGGTGAGGCAGTCCAAGAGGGGCAGGCAGGTTCTCGTAGTCATGGGCAGGCAGGGTCGGAAACACGGGCAGGCAGTGAGAATCCAGAGGCTGGCGGAGCAGGTCTCAGGTAGGCGGACAAATCAGACAGGCTCGGGAATCAGAGGCAGAGACAGGTCGGGTAACAGGCAGGCAGACAGATAATTCGGAATAACGCTGGAAGTTCTCACCAGTTTGGCTCGAGACGTTCTGGCACTGGAGACTGGCTGAGACGGAGCTTAAGTGCAGGTGGAGTCAGGTGGAAACAATGACGGTTGATTGCGGGGTGTGGATGCTGATCAGTAGTACAGACGGTGGGTGGAGCCAGCTCCAGTGCCAGGAACGTCACAGGTTGTCTGACGCTGTGACAACAAATGGTAGCATAGGATAAGATAAGGTAGCACAGGACAAGACAAAGTAGTCCAGAACAAGATAAAGTAGCAGAGGAAAAGACAAGGTAGCACTGGAAAAGACAAACTAGCACAGGACAAGGGGAATGTGGTCTATACATAACCAGACAAACAGAACAACTGGGATGGGGGACAGTCGAAAAACATCAGCGTGGGACAGACAATTACATACAACAGGAAAGGTAATTAAACCAGTTCCTCTGAAACCAGAGGAAGGATGACTGTCAAAATAAAACATGAAGTCACAAGACATAAGTAAACACAAAGTGGATTTATAGACATGACACAGAGTGGACCTACCTCTGGCCTGTTGTCA